ATTTGACTGTATGATCTGGTTGAACTGTAAAGTGCCTTGATGTGTGATGTGTTGCGCTGTATGCGCCATATTAATAAATTTTATTGAATATTTTCTGAAAGGGGAATTTTTGTTGCTTCAAAGCAAACTAAGGGGCAAACTCATTCAAATGAATCTAATCATCTTTGTTTATCAACCAAGCTCATGCAATAAAAAAAGGAAATAAACACAATGAAGAAATTCTATAACAAATTTTCAAAAATAATAAGCAGTCAAACCTGCTTGCTTGCAAGCATGATGTGGCGGACGAGACATGCATTTTTACTTCATTAATAAACAGCTAAAATTCTCTAACATATTAAAATGAAAATCAAAGGCTCCTAATATGATATATATATTGAACTACAATATTAAAAGAAAAAAATAAATAATAAAAAATAGTACTTGCATAAGCTAGGTTTTGCTCATTAAGTTAGTTCAAAACAATCACACACAATTTGCTGTAAAATAAGGATATTACACCAATGAGCTAAAATATGTGTCATCGGCTTAAATATTAACCTACTGTATGTAGGCACTTTTAATGTCAATAAAAGGGTTGTCCCTAAAAAAAAGCCACTGAATAACTTTGGTAAAGACTTGTTAAAAGGCTAAGTCAATCTTAAAGTAATTTTTTTTTACTATACATGGTTTAAAATAACTCTATAGTTGGAGTTACAGAGATTTGGCTTTTATGTTTTTTAATAGTTAAGTTGTGTTTGGTTCACTATAATCAGAAGCCAGATACTGTAAAAAAAAACTGGTTTACCTTCATAATTAGACTTATTTAGACATAACATTTTGAGAAGTCATCCTATACACCTTATTTAAAATGTTCATGTAAAACATCTGAGTTAAAGTTAAAAAAGCATCCAGTCATTGAAATAAATAAGTTCAAGAGACTTAAGCCCCTAAGGCTGTAACAGCATTAAACAAAGTTAAAACAAAAATGTCTTCACAATAATTACAATACAACATATAATCATTGATTACATTAATTTAAACCTTCAATTGTAGCACCAGCTGTATGTTTAGCATTTTAGGATTTTTTTTCTCAGTCAGCAGGTTTTAATGCCCAATTCAGATTTTCTGCTAAAATCCAATTTCAATTGAGTGTTCATTCATACTAACATTTAAATACAAATTCTGTCTGAACAGTTCACAGTGTAGACCACCCACAGCAGTCCAGTGTGTGGAGAGGTAATATTGGATGACTGTTGTAATAAATGTTCATCAAAGCCAAACTCTCTGTTTTTATATTGAAAACATGAACAATGAAAGCTGACTATCAATAAAACACTAGACAGAGAAAGGTAAAAAAAAAATAAAAAAAAAATAAAATGTATCTACTGACAATGGCCTTGTCTAGCATTAACAGCTACTATTGTTGAAAAGTCCATCTGGACGAAGACAATTTCTTATACATAACTGCAATGACAAGAAAGACAGATGATATTTCAGCACTAGACCTGTATGAACAACATCTATAAGATGGCAACATTCAGAAAGAACCTTCCATTCCTGGCTAGTAGATCAAATTTGTGCAGGATAGATCAACTTTATGCAGCTGTGCTAAGTTTGAATATTGCTGTTGTTTTTTGTTGTTGTTTTTTGTATACATGCAAACCAAGTAAAGCAGGGCCTTATTTTAAAGCTTTTACAGGAGTTTGTTTTCTGTGTGATTACCTTGTATTATCCTGGTCATTCTCCCTATCAACTCAGATTTATGGGGAGCTCAGGGTTCAGATCAGATATACTAATTCTAAACAAAGTGTTTTCCATCACATGATCCCTCCAAAGGAAGATAATAAAATTAAGAAACTGTGAGGAGCAATGGATACGATCAAGTATATATGTTTTCCTCATTATATAATGAAGTTCTATTATAGTTATATCACATTAATTCCAGAAATCCATTCATTTGGGACTGTTGAAATGAAATACTGTATATCTAATCCATATAGAGTTAGGTAAATTGATCCTTTTTGTGTTAATCTTGAATCTTGATTCTAACTAAATTAACATATCTGTTGGATAATGTATAACACCTCATGCATGAAGCTGTTGCAGAACTGGGAAGCTCCTTTAGTGACAGTCTGCTGCACTCTAAATGCACCAGGAAGCGTTATTACAGATCCTTCCTCTCAGCAGCTGTAAGACTTTATAACCATCACTGTTCCTATTCATGCTGATCTTTGCACAGTTTCTACCTTAGTCAGTTAAATAACATATCTCTGATGTTGCTGCAATTTTAAATAACCATTGCTGTAAAAATGTCCATAGCTGTATATTGGTTATTTATTCTCCAGATGCACAGTTGTTATTGTTAAAACACTTAACAGATCAGTATTTCATTTGTTTACTTTTAACTCCTCACAATTGTGTTATTCTTATACATTTTTCTAAGGTCAACATTTGTGTGACCATTTGTCTCTATAATCTTTTTGCTGCTATAAACACCAGAAGTCTTCCATTGTGGGACAATAAAGGGATTTTTCTATTCTATTCTATTCTATTCTATTCTATTCTATTCTATTTTCTTTCTGAGTTTTGACCTTTTTTGAGATATTACAACTTATTCAGTCATTTCAAACCTGCGGAATACGTTGTTAATTCCTGCAAGACACTGCTAGTCTTCAACACTAATAGTAACAACTACATAAACTATCTGATTTCTTAATGGTAATAATCAAAGTGTGTTATCAATCCTAACTTCAACATCCAACATGGCTGCCATGCATATGAAACACAATGACAGATAAAGCGAAGGAGCTTTAAAAAGCTGTATGTTATCTTGAAAGACTGGTATATCACTAAATTAGTCGGTTATCATACTGTACCAGTCTCTAGTAATACAGATTTTGCTATATAACAGAGGGATGAAATTTTGTGAAATGTGTGGCTATATGTTGCATTTTGGAAGCAATGGTTGATGTATAAGAAATAAGGGGGTTGTTAAATTATATATAGAAGAGCTTTTCTATTTGTTTCCCATTACAAAACTCTCACTGTCTCAATCAAGTCCATCTCAGACTTAATAAAATTAGCTAAGGTCTCCTTTCCTTGCAGTAGAGGAGCTGCAGTGCGGAGCTGCTGACAGTGGATGGATCGCAGGCAGAGTGGAGCAGCTGTGAAAGACAAAGCCACGACAGAAAAAACAGGTAACAGTATGTCCAGCGGATTGAAGGCTGATGGAAGAGAGGCAGGGGGGCGACGACGCAAGATGGGGCCCTACCTCCCGTGATCACTGAAATTAGAACCCTAGCCACCATGGTGGGTGGTCGTGGTCGGTGGCAGCGGGGGGAAGGTGTTTCAAGGGACACATATAACATGCTGGAAACTCTGTACCTTTCAGTGTGCCGTCAGAAAGGGCCCAACTCACACCAGGAACCAATAAATCTAGAGGAATGAGACCGTGTTAGTCAGAAGCTGAAGAAAGGAAGGAAGGAAGGAAGGATGGCTGAGAGTTTGAAATAAGAGAGTTAAAGAGAGAGATAGTGGGAGAGAGGGAGGGAATAAGTTTAGAAGAAATCAATGAGAGATTAAGCTGGTTTATGTGCCTGTGTTAGATCTTTCCAGTGATTCTGAGTCCAGTTCTTCTGATCAACGCGCATATGGTTGGCGAGGGTTAGGGCCTTCTATTCCACTTTTAAAGTCAGGACTTTTACAGCTACCTATACCCAAGATCCTATTAAGTCGCCCTGTAAATCAATTTCTTGAGGTAACATTGCCTTTTTGCATTGATTTGATACCAGGATGCTCTCTTTTATGAAGCGTGTACAATGCCAGGAAAAGGGAAGTATAATTTATACTAAATGGGGGAAAAGAAAATTAAAAGGAAAACAACAAAATGTAGAAGTCAGACAGGAAAAGATATGCCCGTCCTTCCAATACACACTTTGAATATGTATGCTGTGTGTAAATGGGCAGGTGTCTTAATTAACCTTCTTTAAAAGGAACATTGATTTTTCATCTGTATTTCTCAAGAACTTAACTTATCATACAGAAAAAAACTCTATAAACTACTGTTTAGTTAACTATTTTGTCCACTGCTCCTTGTACCAGTTAAAAAGACGAGAGTGCCTTTAGAATCTGGGGTAAAATACAGAGATGCACCAAAAAAATGTCTGTTACTTGGAGTCTGTTATTTTAAGATTGGACCTAATGTCTCATTTTGTGTGACTGCTAAATTGCAAATTATAAAATTTCGCATATTTCCAATCAGTGAAGACATCTTCTTGTATCTTATTTACACTGTGTTCCGTTCTACTCCACTCAGTGTCAAAATCCAGAGCAAATATGTAGCTATTGTAATCAATCAGATCATTTAAAACAGCCACATCAGCAAATTTAAGTCTATTCTGTTTTTCCAAATAGCACATAAATTAAAATCCTATTGCACCAATAGAAAACTGAACGATCACATTGTCTAGATTTTTCAAATAAATCACTAAAGACTGCCTAATTTAATTAAACTTCATTAGATTACAAAATCTAAATAAATCAAAATATCAACTATTAGGTAATAGTTGGTCATTAAAAATAAGTAAAAACTAAATTCACCAAAAATAAGCAACAAATACAGCTTCTCTGCACTTAGTGCACCAAACCATTGTAGAATAGATCTAGTGAAAATATCTGAAAATCAAATGGATGGAGTGAAAATATAGTGAGTAGCACTAGGACTTCATGCTGGCAATAATCTGCAAGGTGGGAGTTGAGAGCTGTTTTAAATAAAGTACTTAAAACTGAAGTCCAAAGAAGTAAATACCATGTTTAAAACAAAAAGGTTGTTCGTATGACATGTCTGTGGTTCTTTCCCATTGGAAGACAGTTAGAAGGAGTAAACTTTAGATCAGACTTCTGATTGGTGCATGTCTAATAAAATACCATTAAAGTAGGCACTTTATCCAAAACAAGGCTAAGACTAGTAGGAGCCAGAACCATTTGTTTTTAGGTGTAAGAAGCAGTGGAGAGAGTAAAAATTAAAACAAGCAGTTTTTAATGATCTCCTATACAGCCGCAGGGGAGGGACAATTAACTCTCAGCCCTACAAATCTACTCTGCAGTGATCTCATATTCTAGCTCAAGTATAGCATCCAGATTGTGGTCTATCCCTGCCCCCTGCGGCTGTACTAAACCACATGCAGGAGAGAGGAAGGGAGGGGGGGTCATCTTATTTATTATTCAACAAGTCCCCCTCCCTCTAGCTCTATGTATCCACTACCATGCAAGCCCTGTATTTCAGCACCCACTGGGCATGCTTCAAAGGGCCATCCCAAGCACAGTGTCTACGGTAGACCAGGCAAGGTAAGGGCAGTGGGAAAGGAATGGCAGAAAACTCCAGTGGTCAGTTGTTCTAACTCTGGAAACCTTCCCCCTTTAGTAGCTCTTCTCGAAAACCAACAGTGCAAAATGAATGCTAGTATTAAAGAACAGCGACCGAAATCTGTTAGGTCTTCAGAGAAAGAGCAAATGACCACCAGACTGCATTGCAAAAACTGTCTTGGGGTGCTAAAGGAAAAAGGGAGAAGGATTGTCAATATTAAGGGAAGGGTTCTACCGCACAGTAGCAACTATAATTCGAGCTAGCGCACTAACTGCGTTCTTCTAGATTCGGCCAAACCAAATTAAAAAGCAAAGAAAAGGAAAAAGGCTCAAGCTCAAATTCAAGCAGGACTCAGAAAGATGTGGAAAGACTACCGACCAGCCAGCTCCTTCTCCTTACTCCGTCTCTTTTTCTCTATTCGTTTCAGTCTCTTCTCCTCCCTGCGCTTGTTCTCCTCTGCCTCCTGGTGACGCCGACATTTGTGAAAGTTTTCCACCACCACACCCACGAACATGTTGAGCACGAAAAAGGCCACAATCAGGAGGAAAGAGATGAAGTAGAGCAGCATCCATGGGTTGTGGTTCAGCTCTGGCTGGAAAACACAAAATAAGAAAGGTGTTACCTTCCCAGAAGCCTCATTCTTGAGATTTCTTAATCAGAAAATTATGGGTTCTGGTTACACATTGGTTAAAATTACATGATAACAAATTCAGTGGTTCCTGGCTACAATAAAGATGTATACCTAGAGTCAATGTAGGTACATAAATTTAGGAACTGGTAAAAACAAATGCAGGAGAAATGAATCTGTCCATCTCTGCAAATACTTACTTGTTTGTCCTCCTCTACAGCATCGAGGCCATCATACATGATATCCACCCATCCGTCTTTTGAAGCAAGTACAAAAAGAGACATCAAAGCCTGAAGGAGAAAAGAAAGAACAAAATTACATCTGTTGTGTCCTATTAGCACATCATGACTGCATCTTTAATTTGAGGTAATCATCTTGTCTTTTAAGGCTTTTTTTGGTCAATTATTTATGATGCTGTAGGATTTTGTTTGTCTGTTCTCCTTTTCCCATTTAGCTACTATAATCCATACAGAAGAACTTGGATTTTTCATTGTTCTTTGGAATGAAACAAGTTTTACACTGCTGCTTAATAAAGGTCCAATGTTCAGTTGGAGGACTTGTAGACTAAACTGTATAGGTTAGACTACTCGAACTAGAAGACAGAGTTCTGTTTTCTACAGGAATTCTTGGACGACACTGTAGTCATTGTATGTCAGAAATGAAAAAGAAGCTGAGTACAGGGAACTAGAGGACCGCTGGGAGGGGAAACAATCATCTCATCCTGAATATTAAGGGGATGAAACACTATTACCATCATGGTAGAAGAAGTGGAGCTGAGGAAGAAGTATAAATTCCTCCATATTTAATAGTGTTGCACCGATATCGATACCAGTATTGGACGGGGCCTCGATCCACAGTGGTGTTAAAAGTACATACATTTGTTACTTAAGTAGCCTGCAGTTTAAAAACACTCTGTGCAACCTCTTTACTCAAGTAAAAGTGAAAAAGTATGTGCTCTAAAAACTACTTAAAGTACAAAAGTATAAATAAACCTTTAAAAAAACAGCCTGATGCCACTATATGATTAAAAGCTCAATTTTTTTACGAAAAAGGCCAAGGATGAGGGAGGGCTTTTTTTTTCTGGCTTAATGAGAGCAGTGGGCTTTATGCTGCCCTGCAAGGCTTTAAACCTTGGTCTGAATAGCAACAAAGCCATTCTAAAGCACATATCAAGGTGCTCATTTTGAGCCTGGATCCATATTTATTTTTGATTCTGTTCATGGTGGAGAATCCTGCTTCACTGCAGCAGGTTGAACCAAACATACTATAAATGTGCAGCTGCACTCCGGTCCGGCCAGGTCAAGATCCGCTATTCCAACACCAAACAGGAAAAAGAATTGTGAGAAGATCTGGTTGGTCAAATTAAAGTATACTAACAACAGATTGGTAATATCTACAAATTAAGCATAATTCTTGTATATTTGAAAAAACTAACACCATTTATTTAAAAGATTGGATGCAAACTATTGGTACTTCAAAATCTCCATCAGAAACTGCACATATGATGGATGCTGATGGGGATTTTTTTAAACCTGTCATATTAAATTAATTCATTAATTTCAGCCTGTTTTGCTCCTATGAATTTAATGATAATATCGCGCATGTCGGAGCGCAGCAATACAGGAGGGACAGCAGAGGCTGTAGGCTTTGCTTTGCGCAGAAGGTCTGGAGCGCGGCAGAGCTGAGACGAAGGATGTAGGATTTCGGGGTAACAGGAGAAGCAGCGCAAGTGAAGTTAGACAATGTCGACAGACAACATGCAGTAATTTATAAATGTTTTAAATCAGGTTGTGTCCGGATTAGCCAGCAGGTGGGTCCGGATCCATACCATGGTCCTCTAATCTGTGACCTCTGCATTAATCCGAAGCCAAGAGTAACAAGTAACGTTTGTTTTACAAATGTAAGGAATAGAAAGTACAGATACTGGTGTGAAAATGTAATGAGCAGAAGTCAGAAGTAGGAGGAAAAATAAGTAATGGAGTAAAGTTTAGATACCTAAAAAGTATACTTAAGTGCAGTAATGAAGTACAAATACTTTGTTACACTACTTGACACCTCTGCCGATCCAGCATTAAAATGGTGGTATCAGTATCAGCGAGCACCAACAAATAGGGCACCGATATCATTTTTCAGAACTATTGTCACCCATTCCAGGTAGACAATAAAAAGTTCTACTGGATTCACTTTGTATTAGTCTTTTTCCTGCTTCACAAAGGTAGGCAGCAGCTTGACAAAGGCATGATGGCAATAATTTTACATCCAAGTAGTGTACAGTTCTTCATATATACACACACACATCAATTTCAAAAAATTGTATCAGTATGGTATCGGTATCGGCCAATACTGCACAGCCGGGTATCGGGAATCGGGGCCAAAATTGGCATCGGTGCAACACTACTAATCACCCAGACAACAAACTGTGTTACCACAGTTGGGTCCCATTGGCGAGCTCCTCCTGTTTTCTCTTACTCTGTCCAGGTGATGGTGATTAGGAACTGCAGATATAAAGCACCATCTTCCCAGGACTCATTATCTGCTGCTCTCTGGCTAATCTCTCACCTCTTCTCTCTCTTGCTGGCTCAGATCTTCACACCTCCCTTATGGATGTATTTCTGCTTCTCCTGCTGCCACTCTGCTGCTTGGCCTCATTTTTACCTCGTCATGAGTCTGTCTTGTGTTTTGCGTTATTCTTTGCTTTATCCTTATTAAATGATAAGTTATGCTCCTTTAAGTGGGGCATGGTATGCCATTACTAAGCAGGTCTTAACTCTCTCATCTGTCAGTGTCTGCAGCAAGCTGCTGCATATCTTCTCTTAGACTGTCAGAGAAAGAATAGTGCCTTCTGCCATCATGTGTTATGGTGGCAGCATCAGAGCAAAAACTTTGAGAAGTTCAACAAGCTAATAAAGAAGTCTGGATGACTGGATAAATCAATGGAGGGTTGGTTTTCCTTAGATAGAAAACTTTGAACCAATCTGATTGAATTGCAAAGTGCCTTGAGGTGACGTGTTTTGAATTGGCGCTGTATAAATAAACTAAGTTGAAATTGAATTGGTTCTGTTTTGGGAAGTGCACTAAAACCTCTGGAGAAGGTATTATATGGAATAATTCAAGATTAAATGAAGCACATTGTGGAAAGGCATCTTTATCAGATAACCGTAAAACAGATTGTCTTCAGTCTGAGGACACTACAGCAGATCAGCATCTGAAATAACTAATTAAAAATGTCTTATAAGAGCCACAACATTTCATTTCCTTTGGAGATTTTAAAGTATCTTGAGTATACTTTATATAAAGTAACTGGAAATATTTTGTTAGTGGAGGACTTTGCATTAAGTAATACCCCCATGTCTAAATACTGAGTATTGTTTGATGGTTAATGTTCTTAAGAATGTTTGTACAGACATGATTTCTGAGGAAAGTATAAAACATTTTGTTGAATTAAATAAAACATATTCTCCTCTCTCCTCTCCATTCTGGGAGAAATGGGGAGGGTAGTAAATAAATGCAGCTATTCTGCGATGCTTAACATTCATAGAAAACGAAACCACAGTAGATCATGCGATATTCTAATGTAATTCTGAGGATCTGCTGAAATCTTCAGAAAAGCTACTAAAAAATGTAATCTTAAATGAAATCATAAAAATATATTGTATACCTTTTGCTAGAAATTACAGTACATATAAATGCAAATAGCTAAGTGCCTAATACCTACTGTTTTTCATGTTGTTACTTTTCTTGTCCGTGTGGACATAGCCTTTGGTGCATCCTTTAATTAAGGTTTGACAAAAAAAAAAAGTTGCTTGTGAAAAAAAAAAAAAAAAAGTGAAAGTGCTGAAAGTGAAACTACCTTCATTAAGGTTTTAAGTCTGCGGTGGCCATAGCAGCATCACGTTAAGCTGTTGATTACAAGCTGGTTATAGCCCAACTAATTAAAAGCAGCTAGTATTGATTTGCTAAGCTGCTAGTGTTGCTCCATAAAAAGCAGAGTGGCAGAAAGTCAAATATTCTACCCAATAAACTGTTTTAAACTTAATGACTTTGCTTTAATGATCTGATTGTGTAAACTACTCATATGTCTGCCTATGTTTAGGTTTTCAGCAGGTTTGGTGACCTACCTGCCCCAGGTTGTCGAAGTTGTACTTGATGTGGAACCACTCGTACCCGGCTTGTAAACAGGCAGTCTTGTTTTTAATGTTCCTCACATCCTCCCCTTGGCAAATAAAGAACTTTCCCTTGAAAAGCTTTGGAAACACAAACAAAAAATAAAATAAAGCAACGTTACACTTGTTTAGTTTGGTTGTTGTATCCAGTTGAAGAAAGCCATTTGAGTAAAGGATTACTTCTACGAAAATCAGTACTGGAAGTTGAAATTTAATAGGATCTCTGATTAGGGCATGCCCCAGAAAAGGTGGTGGGTTTTTGGTTATGAAGCAGGCAATACATGGGGAAGCCTATAGAGTTCATCAACCACTTTTTTTAGAAAATATTTTCCCTAATGTACTTAAAAAATATTCATCTAGGAATAGAAAGGGATTTAAAATGAGGTGAGTATCCTCAGCCAAAATTGCTCAGTGGCTTAACTTGCACAGATGGTTTATGGACATTAACACAGTGATAGAGAACAAATAGGAGCTCAAGCTGCTCCAAGGTTAAAGTGGGTTCTTGTACAGATCGGTAATATAGCTTCAAGCTTAAAACAAATGAGTAAATACTAATGATTATGAATAAAATATACTAAAGAGGTCAAATTTAAAAGCTAAAATTAGATGAATTTACAGGACATAAGGAAGCTTTAATGTCATTTTATGATGTAATGAGCCAAACTGTGAGTAATCTATCTCAAGCAGATGTAGCACCATTTCCTCTCACCTGTACTCCAAGGATTCCAAAGATAATGAAGAAGGCACAGCAGATCACCACAATGTTGCCGATTGGCTTAAGCGATGACATCAGGGTCTCCACCACCAGCTTCAGTCCTGGGGCTCTGCTGATCACGCTGGAACATGGCATATGACAAGGCGTTATTGATCCGTATGGAGGCCAGTGTTAATGTAGCAGGCAGTTACATCATCGCTATATAAATGCTAAAAGGGGATTCCTGGAGCAGTTTTTCTCTCAACCTCTAGACAGTCTGCACATATCAAGAGGGACAGAGACACACCTGTTTACATATTTAATCATTTTTTTTATTATGATTTATTTAACTTAGCAGTTTATAAAGACATTTCTTTATGCATTTCTTCTTTACTTGCCTTCTTTCATATTTGTATTTGAGGTAACAGAGACTCTAATTGGCTCTAATTAAGCCAATATACATGATGAATGTGCAATTAGTGCCAGCAAGTGCAGCTGAGCTCCAGCTGGGCCTCCCAGCCAAGCTTGAATCCAGGGGCATACATGCTACAGTGCATACATTGCCTTAAAAAGGTACTCCCATCCTTTGAACTCACACCTTTTTACTTTTTTTTGCATTTTCAGCTAAAAAAAATTACGGAACAGGATTAGGGCCACTGAAGAAATAAAAAAGTTACCTGATTTTTTAAATATCATTTCTGTTTAATATGGGAAAAAAGTCAGAATTCTGACTTTAATCTCAGAATTTGGGATCTTAATGTAGATGGGCACCATAAAGGAAGAGATGTGGGAGCACTCAGCTTCATTGACAAAGATGTGAGTTGTTTGGGAGGGCCGGTAACACACTGGTGGAAAATGACGGAATGAAACGACTTTTTATGTGCTGAGGGTGATGCTATTTCATAAATAAAAGAGAAGAAGGTGATTAAAAAAAGAGAGCCAGTTAAGTCTCTAAAACAGACATGGTTACGGCTTGATGCTAACATGTTTGTTAGCTGTCAGAATTCAGTCAGAATTCTGAGATTAAAGTCAGAATTCTAAGAAAAAAGTCAAAATCTGAGAAAAAAAAATCGGAATTCTGACATTAAATTAAAAATTCTGAGATCAAAGTCAAATTCCTGACTTTTTTCTTATATTATACTGAAATGAAATTTAAAAATCAGTTATCTGTTTTTATGTTTTCAGTTGCCCTAATCCTCTTCCTTAAAAAAATTATCCAGTTTATTAGGATTTTATATGACAGAACACTATAAAGTAAAAATGTATACTATAAATTTGTATTTGGCAAAAAAATTAATAAAATTGTTGGTTTTATTTGTAAAACTTTAAAGTGTTCTGCATCCTTAATAAAAAACCAGTTAAACCAGTTGCTTTTATTTTGTTCATAATTCTCTATTCTTCTGTGGGAAATAGCTGTAGCTCAATCAGATTGGAAATTAGCTATAAGGTAACCCCCCCCCCAAATAAGCACCACACCTTTAAGGTCTTATTAATAAAAAAAAAAAAAAAAAAAAAAAATATATATATATATATATATATATATATATATATTTTTTTTTTTTTTTTTTCTTCCACCATCCAAGTACACAATAATTTGTCTTTGCACAGTACTGGACTGGCATGGATTTATATTTGGAATTACTATAAAAAGATGAAGATTGTATATGGAATACCACAGGCCATCCTTTCTACCTTCTTACATCATATACAATTTTCCAGCTTCAGTCTGAAAACAATTAGGGGGGAGAATGATGCAAGCATGGCCCACCTACTCCCATTCTGTATGTTCTGTCAAAAAAAGTACAGGCGTTATAAAAACTGTGGAACAGTCGCCATTGAAAAGAGAAAGATGAGATAAAGATGCATACAACCACTCCGAGAAAATACTTTTTACTTTGTCTAATCTACTGTAAATATCTGCATAAATTCACAGCTTGTCCCTGTTTTCTTTGCAGCACAGAGGACACAGTCAGCAGTGTGCTGCAATGCTCGACATCTGCACGCCCACACCATTCATTCTTCTCTCTCTGCACCACTGGGAAATCATTCACATTGAGAGAAAAGGAGCATGTAGGGAAACAGGAGTGTTCAAATGATGCAAACATTGATAAGAGTGTAACAGAGACACAATGAGAATAAGAAAGAAGAAGGAAGTTTAGCTTTTAATTATAATTTCCCAGTTTCTAAACTCACTTTCTCTACATTTCAATATAAATAGCTTTTGATATTGAGAAAGGATTTATACAACATGTGTGCTAACTCTACAAAGTTACCTTTATTTTATTGGATTGCAGCCAAAAGTTCGTACATCTAGAAACTTTCCTTATAAATTTCCTCACCACATCATAAATTTCCGCACCACATCAACCAATCAGAGAAGTTGATCTGCGAGCTGGCAGGGAGAGAGAAACAGCACTGCTGATGCAGATCACCATGATCACTCCTCTGAAACAGTTTATTAATGCCTGAATTAACTTAAAATGTTGAAACTTGCTGGCAAAATATGTTTGCTTTTATCATTCTGGTGCCTGCAGTTTGGATAGCGTATGTGAAAACTGCTAACATCTCCTTCCAGCCACCACAAACAGTAGTGGATAAAACTCCAAGAGGCGACCGGGCCAGAGGCACCTGATTAACGGGATTTCCAGTGACAGAGCACCAGTAATGTACGGCGGTTTCGTGATCTTCTGACAGCGAAATATTTGAAGGCAGGATAGTAATGATGATAAACTAACTACACAGATGAAGTTTTGAGTTCAACTTTCTCATTTAAAAATATATTAAAAACTACTTTTTACTCATAACAGCAAATATAGCAAAGCACCTCTCTGCCATTGAAAACAGGAGCAGCAGAAGCATCAGACGCATCTGGACACACTTTATAGGACGCTTCGGACCTTAATGTTTACAAGCATCAAAAATTAAGCAGCAGGCTGGACTTTTTTGCTGCTTTTATTGCGTACAGTCTAAAAAGCATTAGGAATGAGAGAGGTCCATAGTTTTAATAATCTGTTACTTCAAGTATGAGAAACTAAATGAGAAAAAAAAAATCAGGGGAAATCACATCATAGAATCTTTAAACAATTTATCTGCCAATTATTGTAGAAAATAGGTATTTGGGACGCACAAACAAGAGGGATGTCTGGTCCACACAGAAATGTACCTTCCCTGTTAGTTCTTTCTTTACAAGGATCAGTCAACATTTCCCCTTTACATAACAGCTCCAAAGTATGATGTCCCCACCCCCATGCTTCACAGTAGGGAGGGTGTTCTTGGAATTAATTTGAGCGTTTTTCTTCCTCTAAACATAACAAGTTGAGTTTGAGTCAAAACTTCTATTTTGGTTTCATCCGACTTCCTGATATACAACCAGTTCTCTTCTGGATCATCCATATGGTCTCTGGCAAACTTAAGATAAGCCTGGATACGTACTGGCTTAAGCAGGGTGACATGCCTAGCAGTGAAGGATTTGAGCGTGTTAATGATGATAGCTTTTGTTACTTTGGCCCCAGTATCCTGCAGGTCCTTCATCAGGTCCCTCTGAGTTGTTATAGGAAATTTAGTCACCCTCCTTAATGATCGTTTTGACCCCATGGGATAAGATCTTGCATAGGGCCCCAGATTGGGGGAGATTATTAATGGTTTTGTATGTTTTTGATTTTCTTCCATTTGCTCCAACAGTTGCTTTATTGAACTCAGATTGCTTAATATTGTGGATTCATTCTTCCCAGGTTGGTGAAGATTTACAGTTGCTTTTCCTGGTGTTCTTGGACAGCTTTTTGGTCTTCACCATTGTTGAGTTGGGAGTTTGTGGCTATGGATGGGTGTCTTTTACACAGAAAATTAGTTCAAACAGATTCCCCTAATATGGGCAATGAGTACAGAACAGAGAAGGTTCTTAAAGGTGTGAATTGCCATCCACTGAACAGAGAACATTTTCATTGTACACCAACTGTGCACATCGACTAAAACGTGTCTCCATACAAGTGAAAATCATATTCAGTTGAATTTATCTGTCCACCATAAGTCTAAATGGTAGGGCATCCATGCATAAGAAAGATGAAAACATTAACAATATGTTTAAATGTTCCCTTTTTGTTCATATTTAAATCCGTTTGCTAATCTGTGAGATGGGAGGTAATTCTCGGTAGCCATGTATTTTTTAGAATAGGGCTAAGTGAAAATTGGGATGAGTATTCATGAGAGCCTTACCATAAACATATCACCAGCATGACTGACAATTATGAAGACCTTTTATTTTGATGATCCACCCCCGGAAAAAGAACATCCTTCACTAAAGGTTTAACTTTATGTTCTTTAAAACTCTTTAAAAATCCCACAGTGTAATTTCCAGGATTCTTTTTTCTTTTTGTCTCTCATAATAAAAATACAGACTGTTTTCATTTTTCTATTTCTGCAATAACAGCCAAATAAATACTATTTGGCCCACTGTAGTTTACGGCTGGTGTACTGCTGGAAGGTAAACCCTCTGCCCCAGGCTGAAAACTTTTGTACCCTTTCAGGTTTTCTTCAAAGATTGACATGTTGTTCCCTCCATCCACATTCCTGTTACCTCACGCGGCTTACCTGTCCCTGTGGTTTTCCTTCAGCGCCGTTTGCCTTTTATTCACATGGACTGGATTGTGGAAGAACTAAAAGGTGTCTTGTCAACAGAATCTCCCACGTGAGAGTTAGCATGGGCCTACTTTCTCTGTGTCTGGTTAATACTTTCCTTGTCTGGCCTGTCCGGTTATTTAGACCCACCTGTTTTGATTAATTTTCAGTTCTTTCATATTCTTTTTGTTTTGTAAATTCCTTTATTGTCCCACAATGGAGAAAATCCTAGTGTGTAATTAACCCATCCCCTTGGGGAGCAGTGGGCTGCCATTGCGTGGCGCCTGGGGAGCAGTGTGGGGTTAAGGTTTTTGCTCAGGAACCCAGAGTGGAGGCTGTGGAGATCGAACCAAGTGTGTGCAACCTTCTAAGAGCACAAGCGCACCACTCTAACTCACTAGGCCAACACTCCCCTAGGTAATGAATTAAAGAGTGCTCTGGGAGATGTTCAAAGCTGGGATATTTTACCAAATCTTTACTCTGCTTTACTTTAAATATCTGCACAACATTCATCCTTACCGGTCTGCT